GACGACGTACGTACGTACTACGTAACGTAACCTACCTAACCGTAACTAACGTAAGAAGAGAAGAAGTAGTACGTACGTACGTTCGTTCGTTAGTTAGTAGTAGTAGTAGTAGAGAGAGAGAGAGAGAGAGAGAGAGAGAGAGAGAGAGAGGGGAATGGGCAGTACATAGGGGTGTTAGTTGACATTTCTTTTTTCCCATAAAAATTGCCGGTAGTGTTTCAAAAAGTGCTAGGCGGTCGCCCGGGGGGGGGGGGTCCAGGCTGCTCAGCGCCTAGGTGGGCCCCCAGAACCTGGGCGGCCCAGTAGATGTTTTTTTTTTGGTTTTCTCTCTCTAAAATAGCCTTTAATGGGTTTTAGGTTTCAAATGAACCTAAAATCCACCCCTTTAGTATTAAAAAAAGACCCAAAAATACCCTCAAGGAGTTGCATTTCCACCCTTAGACGGGGCGTTGGCCCTGGGCTGCCGCCCGGGTGGGCGCCTAGGCGAGCGCTCAGGGATATCCACGTAATTTGGCCGCTTGGGCCTGGGCTCATCGCGTAGGCCTTTTGGACCACCTGGCAGCCGCCCAGGCGCTGGGCACTCCGCTTTTTAAAATACTGGTTGCCGGTCTGCTGTCATCCCAATCTTGACATTGGGAATCTGATCTAGTGGTGATCCATTGGGGTCCTATGCTATTGGGATGTGGCAGGGTCCTATAGGATCATTACTCATTAAATATGTAGTGTATCTTTGCGACATGTTGAGCAGAAGGTTGTCAGAGAATGTATTAAATTTATTTTTTTCTTTAACTTGCTTGGTTACATGCATATTCACATAAAATTGTTGACGTGCTATGAATGACATCGAAACACCAGAATATTTTTCAGGAATGGTAGTGTTGGTCTTCTACTTTAATGTTTGACTCAGTGCCATCGATCATGATGGCACCTTATCTGGTTCAGTAATCCTCTTGGCTTCTTTTGAAGAATATAGAAAAAAATAGCTAAAAAGAATGCAAACTAAGAAAAAAATGATATAAAAATATTGAAAGTTGGAAAAATATTTTTGAATCTAAGCTTGAAACTATAATTATTCCATTGAAAATCAATTTCACCTTCAAGTGACAAACTAAAACAGAATTAATAACTCATTTGATCTTTGAGGTCGGCTTACTCATGGGTGGTGGAGTGTGCTGTTGGGGCTCTCTGTCAATGGAAAATTTGTTAGAGATCTTGTTGGTTCTGTCAAGTGCCCTGGGGACGGAACTACCAGGCCCCTACAAGACCTACTTTTTAGGTTGTTCTCAATATGATCTCGATCCAGTTGAGGATCCAGATTCCAGATTACTTCTAGTATGCTCAATTTCAATACAGAATAAGCCGTATAATTGTCTTGTCAAACAGATGTCTCTCATGTCAATTGTATTCTGATTTATCGTTGTGGTTGTGTATTGGGGGTGCTTGCAAACTTTCCATGGCATGCAGTTTGTTTGCTGCTGGCAATATTTTGGATGCAAGCTGCACCGTCTTGGTCACCCATTTTGTGTATCTTCTGCAAATAGCATGGCAACTGTAAAGAAACAGGGCATAGATTCACGAATCGTATTCAAGTATCCACATTGTTTTGGTCTAACAAAATATCAAAAGAGGATTAATATAAACATAAGTCTGGGAGCCGCATACCCATGCTTTGGGCATCTTTTTTGAGCTTGCCTTTGGCAAATGATAGTCGTATCTGACCCAAAAAAATATTTTGCATTAATAGACAAAACAGTTAAAAAAATTGAGTTACTTCTCAATGTACGAATATTTTTCATTTGATTTGTGTTGTTACTAGTGCTAATTGCTGTATTTCTTGCAATAAAATATAATGCCTTAATTAGTTAACCTGAAGTTTTTTTTTGAATATTTTGACATATCTTAATTTTCTGGTTTTAGATTTTTTTCATTTGTATTTATTCTCATATTGCAAAAGTACTTAGGTTGTTTGTCAATATAGTTTTTTCTAGGTCCCTAGTAGGTAGAAAGAGAACCTGGGTTTATGCCTCCACGACTTCTATATCAATGTGCTCTTGTGACTTAGTTATATTATCCTCCCCATTCTTGTCTCTACTTCCCCTGTTGGCCTAAATTTTCTTAACCCTCATGACATCAGCCACATTGAATCTCTGTGTTTCATATGTTGCTACAAGGAAATAGGTTACATACTTTCCCAAGTCATTTAGCTGATCCAGTCTGGTGAATCTTCATCTCCCACATGTCTCTCTAGTGACTTTGCAGTCTCAAGTTGTCTGGCTTGGATACCACTCATGTTTCAATGATCCATGTCTTCGGCATTTGCCCCAACTGGGTTAGGATGAACTGTCGAGGTTTAGAAACTTACATACTTATTCAGATATAAGCATAAAAGTGAAACATATTGTATGACCTATGAAAGGCTTAGTCATATACACCTTATTTTGTTGTTGGTGCAGGTAAAGCTCGGGAAAAATGGTGTCGAGGAGGTACTTGGGTTGGGTTCCCTGTCTGATTATGAGCAACAAGGACTAGAAAGTCTTAAAGGTGAACTCAAGTCTTCCATTGAGAAGGGTGTCAAGTTCGCCAGGGAAAATTGAGTGTTCTGGTTTGAGGAAATATTTAAACTTAAAATCACAATTTTGCATCACAGCCATAATATGCGACACTACCATGACTTTGCGCAACCATTAGTTTTAAGAGCTTCGGTTCTGTTGGTTACGGATATTGCCTGTGGTTTGGCAGGAGATTCCCTTTAAAATAAGGTTTTGACTGTTTTGTAGGAGAATTCTCAATAATAATCAGCAATCTTTTGAATACAAAGTTCTGTTGGCGTCATCTTTTCCTTGGCCCTGCAGTTGCCAAGTGTTTTGGTTGCACTTTTCTTTAATAAGCTATTTAGCTCCATTCTTGTGAAAATTACTTTTCACGCTTAGGCGTTTGGGGCACTGTTTCAAAATCAGGAATTGGGTGTCGACCCGGGTCCTTTGTGAAATGGGTACTTTATGTTGAGTTTTAATGGGAGCGATTAGATATGAAAACTGAAGCAGTGAAATATTTGTGTAAATAAATAAGTCAAAACAGTACAATCTTAAGAGTGTTATGAGCAAAAGGAATCCTCAAGTCATCCTAAGCAATGGATATTGAACACCATGATTTTGAGTATAGAAGTTTTGATTGAGCAATGAGTCTGTTTATTTGGAAAACTTGGGTGCCTCCTGTGTTGCCCATGATGGATCTGCCATCGTCTATATGAGTGGTACATGTTATCTTGCATGCATATCTTACTATATAGTCCCATAAAAATCTCCTATCAGTTTCTCACATTTTGGTCTCTCCTTATTTTTTCACCTCTTTCAGCTTAAATGGTGGTCTTTCCTCCATTTGTTCACCTTTCTGCTCAAGTTTTCACGTTCTTCCTCTTCCCATCTCTTATAATATCTTCCTATCATTTGGGAGTAGACCACACCTTTCACTTTGGAGGTTCAATTTGTGGGAGTAGACAAGCTTCGGAACTCTAATGGCAGTTAACTTGTTCTTCCTAGGGGTGTGCGCTTGCAGGAATGTAATCCAATTTTGCTCGCACCCCATAGGGAAATTGAGCACCTTGTTTGCTATTATGATGGTGCCAATCCCCTGTATTTCCTACCCCTTAAAAAGGTCCAAATGATACTGAGGCTAAAATAATAAGAAATAATTCATAAGAAAGGATCTGAGAGCTCATCTAGATCTATTTGATTGGGAGATTTCATATCAAAGTTAGTTGCCATTTTCCCTCACGTATTTATATAAATTAAAATTTAATGAAAAAAAAACAACGTTTAGTGGTTTAGACTTTAGAACTGTAGTTTACATTACTTACAAATGCACTTAGGAAAGTTCTTCACAAAAAATTGTTTCACATCATTTAGAGCTTCAGTTTTTTTTACTTCCACTTCTGTCCAATGGCCTTACGTACTTTTGTCCCCTCATGACCTTGAGGTTATGTGATTGCCCTAGTCAGTAGGATCCTAGGTTGAAAAAGAAACCTAACGCAACACAAAGATTAATATCTCACAGTTCATTTCAAACACCATAACGATCAATTCTAACTTTAAAACTCTAAATATCTATATATCTTTTACCTGGTAAGTGAATTGGCTGCCCAATAAGGTAATTTCATCAGCCATTGGCTATCCCTACCATTGTACTAGAAAATGAACATGGGGTTTTGGTGGCTCGCGCTTTGCTCAATCAATTACTTCGAGGGGAGCTCCATCCTATGGTTTATCATCATCTAGCATCTCAACATCATCATTAAAGGAGCTGTTACTTGCACCTACCCTAGAATCACTTGGTACTAATTGTGCCTTTAACTTCCTTTGCAGTTTGGATCCTTGAGATAGGGGCATCGATCCATTTGTCAAAGGCAACTATTTTCTTGAGCTCTAATTGTGAGCCCAAAATAGATTCCATGGACAAGACTAAGGTTGCAGAGTGCATGATACCAATTCTAATCATCTCCCTCTTGTTAATGTATTGTTTCATCGAAGCTAGCACACCAATTAGGTACCAATTGGTGTGAAAAAGATGCGGGGACCTATTGATACGAAGATATTCTCATACTTAACCACATGAAAGAATTTTTTCACCTGAAAATATTTTCATACGAAACAAACGTGTGATAAATGTTTCAGCTTCATTAGGTCTTTCCTGAAAGTGGTGTAGTTCCCTGCATTATCGATTCTAAACTTGAACTATATACTCACCTAGTTGCCACACTTGACTATCCAACAAACTGGCTAATAGCTTGTCATCTTTCACTAGTCTGGTGGCATCTACACTGCTGATATACCAACAATTTGAGAAAAATCCTCTCCCACATGTACCTAGCCTTTAGACATGATTGTGATCTCTGTTCTCTATGATATTGGCTTAAATTAATCAATGAGCTGGATTACCTCAGGTCTCTCTTCTAAGTAGGGCCACTGAGTTTATTTGCAGTATGGGATTTGACTTTTTAAGTCATGCATTTTGGAGTAGAAGAGATCATCAGCACATAATAGTCGTCGTTAATTATGTTGAAGGGGAGTTTAGCATTGTAAAACCGCTCCGTTATGTCCATAAACATATCCTTCCTTATTGTTCAGGCAAAGCTTATTATGATGTTCATCTGCTCATGCGAAGGCTAAGAAAGGTAAGGGCCAGTTCGACCGGGGAAAAGCGGTGAAAGGTAGTAGGTTGCGTGGGGCTGAGGGAGTCTACCCTATGATCCTCGCTCCCACCACTTAACATAAAACATGTTCTCCTAAACAAACTAGGAGCACATCCCTTCATATCGTTGGCAATGTGCCCTGAGGTAAGGACCCACCACACCCCCTGTGTACTACTGTTGCTCGTCTATATCTATACCTCTCTGCTGACAATATACGTTATCCGAACTTGTTCTCCTCATAAAGCTCGATGGGGCCTCAAACTCATCCTCACTTCCCCCCATCCCTGACTGACTTCTTAGAACTATCTCCTCAACCATCTTTTGTTTGGTGCTCTTTTTATCCTTATTGGCTTTGATAATGGCGGACATCTGTTTCTCACAGCTTGTGTCACATTTGAACATGTCAAAACCTCACTTCTCACCCTCTCCATGCAATGTTTAAAGCGGTTGATACCGACATTCACCTTCTTGTATACATGACATTTTTTTTTGCTACTCTAACGCCATGGTGGGCCTTCTCTATATTTTTTTGACAAGGTTACATAAGAATGGACCTTGTGAAAATCCAACTGCTACCATCTTAACCCAAGCCCAATTCTTCGGGCCTTCTCGATATTGTGACACGGTGTAATAGAAAGCTGAACCTACACACAGAATTAAAAAAGAAAAGCCCAGAGAGCATTTCAATGGTTTTCCCAAATTATTGATAAAATAAACACTTATTGCTCTGAAGATAATATGCGTAAAATTGATAAAACCAAATTTTTTAAGAAAAATATTTTCCAACCAAATGCGATCGTCTTTGCGAGGGGGTTTGTGCCAATAAAACCATGTAACACCATGAAAAGTTGTATAGTGAAATGGTAGAAAAAAATTGGATACATTGTAAATTAATATGAAACCAACAACTATAACAAAAACTGTCATTACGAAATAGCCATGATAAAAATAAAAATAAATTTGCAAAATGAAGTAAAAAAAAGCACATCTACCTTCTGAATACCATATAATAACATTGGCTAAAATAACGTCTATCCATCAAAATATATATTATTTAAAAAAATATTTCTTGTCAAAATAAAAAGTGAGCAAGAAAAAAAGAAGATATCTGCAAATCAAAGGAATAATGATGAATGCCTACTGTAGAATTACTCAAAGATTGCTAGAAATGAAACCCAACGAGTTATTGGATTTAAACAGCAAACCACAGTGATTTGGGTTTGATATTTGAGAAGAAAAAGTTCAGATTCTTTTCATAAATCTGAACTAGAACGAAAGGAGAAAGCCAACGAGTTATTGGATTTAAACAGCAAACCAGAGAGATTAGGGTTTGAAATTTGGGAAGAAAAAGTTCAGATTCTTTTGATGAATCTGAACTAGAACTAAAGGAGAGAGCCAACTTGTCGCTTTTCGATAAGTCTCGCTTCAAATTTTTTTCATCAATAGATAACCAAATAATCTTTTTCTTTTGACAATAATTTCCCTTAGAAAGAAATTGTTTATCCATCTAATTTATCACTTAGGAGCCGTGCGAGATGAAGTCTCATGCATGGTTTTCAATGAGAAAAAAATCAAGAATCTTCTTTTCAACTCTAACTCTCCCACTTCAGTTGTTGCTTTTTTTTTTTTGTTACTTCGAAAGTAGCTATTTCAGCTTTAGCCACTCAAATTTTTGATATTCCTTTTTATTTTTCATCAAACAAATGACATCTTCTTCTTGAAATCCTAGCTATTCTTAGCATGATAATGGAGAATCTCATTGCTATTACTCAAACAGGCATGAAACATATGCAGTCACCGAAGCCCATAGGGCCCATTTAACTGCAAAATTGGTTGGGATGTCTAGATAGCTTGCTGTGGATGATGTTAAGAAGGGATAGAAAGCAGTAAGTGCAATTTCAAGATAATCGTGCAGCCCATGAAAATTTGGGCATTTCTTTGTCAAGGCAGACAGGCCATTATAACTTGCCAAATGCACTCCCCATGAGGGTGGTAATGGGCCGGCCCCACCTTGGGCCCGGCCTGGCCCTCGCATGTAGATCAAGCCGGGCTGGGCTGGGCTAAAAACCAATTAAAAAAAAAAACAGGAAAAAAAAAAAAGGGCCAGACCGGGCCTAACCGGCCCTAACTCAGTCCTCAAGCCATAGTTTGTGGCTCAGGCCCTACTTTTTTAGGGCCGGACTGAACCGCCCATTGCCAGCCCTCTCCCCAAAAAAAGCAGAACTGTTTAAATGAACGGAATGATCACTGACACGTGGAAATATTGTAAACTGGGATTCATACAGGGTTTTGGGATGCATCCAAAGGTACATGGTACTTCTGGCCAAATCTTTTACTTTTTGAGAGCCAAAAACAAGGTAAAGGCAAACCACAATCTTAGTAACCAAAATTTGTCAATATGATGCATCATCCTTTTTCTTCAATTTCACATGCATAGGCCAAAGAACCTTAATATCATAATCGTTGGCATGAAGGAACTGCATTGTAACTGATGCCCCCTTTGGTAGCTTTTTGAATTAGTAGTAACTATCATTAACACAGTGTTCAATCAATCACAAACCCTTGATTTCCATGGATATTCTATTGCTTGAGCTACCTATTTCTTTGTAATCCAAATGCTTCCCCAAGTCGTCTCCCACATGCTCAACTCTGCAAAAAGTCGGATCAAGAAAAAGCAACTTAACCATGCTAACAGACAAATGGGATAGTGACTTACTGTGTTTGGGTCTTCTTAATCCATTCTAATATGCGTGCACAGTCATCGCGCTGGACAAAATGCCTGCAAATAGGGACTTTGTTATCATATTTTGTGTGTAAGACAGAGAGAGAGAGAGAGAGTACATACCTATTTCTAGTCTGATAGGACTTCATGTCAAGGACTTCCCTTTGAGTGGAAAGATCTTTATTGATTCTCAGCTGCTTAGGCACATCCAAACTTATCGTTTGGTCAACATATGATTTGACGATGAAGTCTAGGACTGTTTCCTGCAACAAAAAGCGACTTATTTATATACTGCAATTCATGCTTAACCACCATGGTCCATATGGCATACAAGTATATTTGAATACTGGTAAGAAAAAATTAAACACTAAAAAACAGACATATGGACAATGAACCGTTATCATATATTTTCCACAATCCTACACACGAACAATGACTAATTTTTCAAATAGCTGTTACAATCCTTAAGGACTTAGAGATAAAGAGACCCACTACTGAATGTTATGCTACAAATGGCTTTGTCCTTTGTAGCCATTGCTACTCGCCAACTCAGGATGTTACATGGAAGCGACAATTCACAAAAAAGCTTTACTAGAATCCTGAATGTGGCACTCTTAATCTGGATATAATGCTTCATTGGTGCTCCAAACCCCTGAACTTATGTAAAGTTGCCACGTGGAAAATTCCACTACCATCAAATAGATTGAATCAAAATGAAGTGAACAAATATCCGTGCAGATAAAGGTTTTTTTCACTAGTCAATGTGTGCCGTGCTGAGTAGTGATTAAAAACACGAAAATGGGACAGAACTGGGCAGGTCTCGAGCTTGAGTGTACCAGTTCAACTTGGCCAAGTTTCAACAAGATGAACTGGGAAAAAGAAAAGGCACCAGAACCAGATGGCTTCCTCATTGCCGTATACCACCTTTTCCACGACACCATTTTAACCAATAATGCTTATGTTTTTTTCTAAAGTATACCTAATAATCCCTATGTTCACTGAACTCTATTAGAGGGGCATTATCCACAACATATTAAATGCAATGTCATTTCCCTCATCCCAAAATTCAAACGTGCAAATGAAATTGAAGATTTTCGTACAAGACAATTGCAGAGACTGTCGCCTCCTGCATCAGTGCTCTACTGAGTAAGATCACCTCTCCAAGGTGCCTTAGTTAACAAAAGGCAAATACTTGATGGAGCCCTCATAGCTTGTGAGTGAATTGACGGAAGGCATTGCCAAAATTCCCTAACGATCATTTGTCAGCTTGCTGCAGAAAAAGCATATGACACATTGTCTGCGGTGTTCCGATCAAAATCGCGAGGCCTCATGGCTTCAGGGGAAAATAGAGAACTTGAACGTCTGGATGCATATCCAACACCCATTTCCCTATACTCATCAATAGAATACCACAATAGGGCATTTAGTAAGCTCCCAAGAGTTGTTCCTTTCAAGAGCTTGTATTTCCTCCCACACAGCCTTCCATCGAGGTTGTGATAGAGCCTCTGTTACATAGGATTCCATCCTCCTAGTAAAAATAGATGATAGGAAAGAATAATAGGAAGGTGAGGAGGAATCCAATCTCCACCTATTCATCCATCGTAATCTTGCCCATGATTTCTGGAGTCTATTGCTACAACTGTTCGGTGTCCACTGGGTAACACCAATGACGGTCAAGGACTTAATAGCTTCGGATTATGCATTTCAGTGGCCGAAGGCTGGAAGACCCTATGGAAGGCTGCAGTGGCAGCAACCATTTGGGTGATATGGACACAAAGAAATGCCAAAATTTTCCATGGACAGGTTAGCCAGGTCCCAACACTCTTTCATAAGGTTACATCCTTAGTAACCTTCTGGGCTTCTAACCAACACCTCTTCAAGGGTATCTCAGCGAATTCTTTTCTAAGTCAATGGGATAATATACTATTCCACCGACCATGGAAGGCGAAAAGATCAAGCAACTGGAAGCCACCCCCTGATGGAGCCATTAAACTTAACTTCGATGGGTGTTCTTTGGGGAACCCCAGCCATGCAGGAGCTAGTGTGTCTTTAGAGATCACCAATGCAATATCCTTTTACCTACTCCGAATATCTCAGTATGCCAAATCAATGGCCCTTCTGAGGGGCCTAAAAAGTTTCGTTCAATCTTGGGGGCAAAACCTAATAGTGGAGGGTGATGCGTGTAACATCATAACATGGGCAACCGGGAGATCTACACTTCCATGGTATCTTGCTTCAATTTTTGATGAGATTGCATACATCTGCGGGGATATGGCCGTCTTATGGATGCATACCTCGAGGACATCAAACGAGTTCGCCGATCTCTTGACGAAGGACGGGGCTAGGGCCCATGAAGAAAATCAAACCCGGTATATCTCCTTTTTTGCTCTGGACCATAGAGGATACACTTAGAAGAATATCTCATTGTATACGGGCAATCTTATAAGCCCAGTTTTTGTAAACTCACTGTAAACCTATTGCATGGGGGCAACCTTATAAGCCCATTTGTTGTACAGGGTTTGTTGCCCTATTTTTTTACCGAGAGTCCCGTCTAGAGGGTACTCTCGGATTAACGCAAAACTGTACTCCAACTCTTTATAGTAATACAAAAGTTAACGTTTAGAAAAAAAGAGGAAGGTGCCTATAAGATAATGTGTACCTAATCGCCTAACATTGCATAATGCAATTGGTAAGTCACACTTCGATTGGATTGAGAGGCGAAGAAATAGTAGGATGTGTAGGTTGTGATCAGTGTTCGCAAAATTGAACCGGAATGGTTAAGGGCCCAGAAGCGGTTTAACCGGCCTAATTGATAAACCAGCTGATTCAACCACTCTAACCGAGCAAGTCCCGAGCGTTCAAAAAAGTGTTGAAAAAAATAAAAAAGATACAAAAAAAAATCTACTAAAATATGAAAAGCATATAAAGAACGATTAAAACGAAACACATTCAAATGAAGTTGAAAATTAATGAAAAAAATGGATTTTAACGAATCGATTTTAAAAGTTTTCTAAAAAAGATGGGAAAATATAAAAGCGAGTATTAATAACCGAAACAATTTTTAATCTTTAATGTAAAGAATGTTAAAAAATGCATTACAAACCAAATTCCTTATTTTTGAGAATTTATATACATTTTTTTGAATTTTTGTTTTAAAATACCGGTCGATTCCCAAAACCGGAATCGACCAGTAGCCGGTTCCGATCTAACTAGGCGGTTAGCGGTTTGATCGCCCAGTTTTTCCAACAGTGGTTGCTATGAAGAGATGGTAGGATAAGAAGGGTTAGTACCTGCTTCTAGGTTAACACTTTAGTCATAGTCATTTTACCAACTTCTCCCTTCAAACATATGTCTTCAACTCCTCCTTGGTTGCAACTGGAACATTTCCGTCTTCATTTTGAAGCATCTCAGAAACTTTAGAAATGAAGGGAGTTGGAGTTGAAGTAGATAAAGGTAGTGGCACAAGACTGCTTTCTTCTTGTCTATTGTGCTCCCCCTTACGGGAGCATTGTTGTCTAGTAGGAGAAAAATATGGAATACATTCAAAGAAGGTAATATCAATGGAGACATAGGGGACCTTATTAACACGATCAGAATATTTGAACCCTCTTAGATTTTCTGGATAACCTAAGAAGACACATTTAATGGCTTTCAAGTCCAGTTTCTCTCTTTTAGAACCCGAAACATGAAACACACACTATTAAAGACTTTGGGAAGTACGGGAAACAGAGGAGTATCATGAAGAAGTATTTGGATAAGGGACTTGCCTTGAAGAACTCATGATGGCATACGATTTATCAAGAACGATGCAGTAAGAACCGCGTCAACCCATAAGGTTTTTGGGATATTCATTCTAAACAAGAGAAATCAAGTGACTTCCAACAAGTGTCAATTTTTCTCTTAGCCTGTTCCCTCAAGTAATCTTTGAGGTCCTTCGAGACATACTCATAGCATGAAGAAATTTAATACTTCAACTATATTATGTTCTAACCATTATGTGATAGTAAACAAATCCTGTTTCACTATTCTGCTCCATCAAGGGCCATACCCTCAATCAAACGATAAATTACCATATCTCGTCTCCCTACTTTAATCCATGTCCTTTGGGGCTTTACCCTTGCCCTTTTAGAGCCTTCCACTTGAACCAAGTCACTCCTCCTAAGTGGTGTTGTTCTAGGTCGGCGCTGCACATAACCAGACCATCTAAGTCTACTTCCCTCATTTGATCGCCTATTGGAGCTAACCCCTACGTTCAATCAAATATATTCATTCTGAATTCAAATCCATGTCTTGCCACTCATCCATCCCCATCTCAACTACACTCATTCTATAGAAATATTGTTTCTTACCTGCCGAACATTCTATCCCATGAAGTTAGCCTTACAGCTGCCCTATGAAACTTCCCCTTTAGTTCCATTGGTATGCGATAATTGCATAAGACCCCAAAAGCACATCCCCACTTCGTCACCCAGCTCTACTTCTATGCGCAAAATCTTCCTCAATCTTTCCATTCTCATGGACAATCAACCCAAGATATTGAAAATAATGTCTTTTAGATACTTCTTGCAACTTCATCATATGTTTTATTAAATAAAGTGTGGTTAGTTTGGTTAAGTCATCCATAAAAGTTAAAATAAATAAATAAATGTGAAGACCAAAAAGGGAAACAACTGGGGAAAGCCTCCACACATCAGAATGCACAACAGAGAAGGGAGAATCACTCCTTTTATTACTGATAGGAAACGTCCTACAATATTTCGCTAACTGAAAAACCCCACATTGTAATTGAACTTGACTTTATTGACTTTTAGGAAACAAAGAATGCAAAATAGATAGAGGAGCATGACCAAAGGGGGCGTGCCACAGATATACCAATTCTTTATTAACAATGCCTCACAAGGCAGTGGATCGAGTTCCTATATGAGCCTGTTTTAATGTCTCTAGAAGGTGCAACCCTTCTATCCACACCGATGTCTTCCAGCTGGACAACAAATCTATGGTAATAGTTACTGGAACAACCCCTTTCCTATTAATGGGTATGAGGGATCCATCCGCGATCTTTCAGACTGATGGTTTGAACAGGTAGAATTAGTAGAAAAGAGATAGGACATACTAGTTATATGTTCATCGACTCCTGAATCAATAAACTAAGGAGCTTGAGGAGTCATGGAAAACATGATGTGCATGCACATGTGCCTGATTGGGCAAGATGAGAATTGGAGGAATCCGAAAAGGGGTCAAGATCATGTGTCGAGGAACGTTGTTTAAGCTTAAAAGCTCTCGCTTGGAAATGCTCACAAAGTCATCTTCAAGTAAAGAAGGAACATAGTCACGATGTGGATAAATAGTAGCATCTTGTTGTCGAGGCACATAGTGTCCGCATTAGTCACATCAGCATAAGCCCTAGATGTATTCCATTTAGAGCATCCAATGAGATCCCAACATGTTTCCTTAATGTGTCGAGATTTCTTAATAACAAGTACATTTTATCTTTTTCACCAGCTGAGAAACCCCTACTGCCACCACTATGACCTTCACCTCGACCACCACTATGGCCACGACCATGAGTTGGAAGTTAGAGCTGACCTTTCAGGTTCACCAATGGATACAACTGTAATTTTCCCGAGATTTCCTTCATGTTAGAGATGGAAAAAAACTGTTCTGAGGTATGGTAAAGTTTTGCCACCCAAAATATTGGATCTGTATTTTCATATTCAGGATTAAGGTCCCCTAAAAGACCAAATATCTTATGTTGTTCCATCCATTCTCTATGCTCTTTTGCACACTAGGCATTGTTTATGGGTTGGTAATAATTCAGCTCATCCCGAAACCCCATAAAGCCACTTAATAGTCTCCAACTAATAAATCTTTTTGTTTGAAATTGTTGATTTGTTGCTCCAACTGATAGATTTTTGCCACATTCTTCTTTTGTGAATAGGCCTCAGCCACCGCATCCCATAGCTCCGTTGAAGAATTATAATTCATAAATGTGCGACTCAAATTTGGTTACATAGAGTTTAAAACCCAGTTCATTATAATCATCTCATCAACTTTCCAATTACATAAGAAGACTCCTTTACATCTGGTTTCACGATACGACCATCAATATAACCCAGCATTTTCTTGACTCAATGAAATAACCTAACAGACCTGGTCCATTCCAGATAGTTTGGCCCATCAAATTTAACTGTAGTGATTTGGAGTCTAGTGTACTCCGTACTTGATGGTTGTTGTGACATTGTTCCTTTTTAAGGCACAAGAAAACCAATCACAGTGCTGCAGACATATGGATACACCCACAAATTTCTCTCTAACCATTCTTCATAAACACCAAAAATACCACATAATGCACTGGCCAATCGATTATACAATCGTGGCCATAAATTTCAGATGTACCATGGCTATAAGGCTATTTGATCCACATCAAACAATTATTAAGTTATCCCCAAAAACTAAAATCTAATAAGGAAGAAAAACCCTAATCAACGTATCATGAAAAAACCTTATTCAACCTTAACCTGGTTGATCGTTGAATCCATAATCAATGGATCGGGAAAAACCATAATTTTTTTTGGGGACAAAGCCTAAAACATTGATACCTTCCACAGAAAAATCAGATCCGAGAACAAACCCCAAAAAATAATGCTTCAAAAAACTGTATATAAACTCACCATGAACTTCCAAAAATAGCCTTTTTATGGTTTCTTCTTTGCTGAACTTTCTTCCTTTGCCTGGTCATATTGTTGAAACCAACAGTTACATGGCCAGTATTTCACCAGCCAACTTTCACTTCTTTGAATCTCTTTGAATCTACATCTTGCTCTGGTACCAAGTTAAAATAATTGACTTAAATCTACACTAAACAGCAACTAACAGAAAGAGAAACAAAATAGAGAGAGAGAGAGAGAAAGAGAGAGAGAGCGGAGAGTTGTGTGAGAAGAATGACGCGATCCTGTACTTGGAATCATTCATAGGTTTTATATTATTACTAATGAGCAAATTTACAGAAAATGCCTCGTGTGAGTTTATAGCCACAAATATCCCAGTAGACTTAATTAATTCATTTATATCCTCTTACGGCGGTACTTTTAACAGCAGCTCCCAAAATCAACATGAATAAATAGGGAGAAAGGCAACTACATACCCTCAAACGTGAATAATCTTGAACAAATCTTCCACTAGCCCCTTGATCAATAAACCGTATAGTTGTTGGAGGTGACAACAGGTCCAGGAGTGGGATCAGTTCGGGGAATGCCGAACCACCATGGGGTGGAAGGTCCCTGGGGTTGGGATCGACATCCATACATTGATAAAGTCAAGGTGCTAGATCCTAGGATACCTGGGAGCGAGATCCCATGTCACTGGGATCGAAGTTTTGACTTGGAGGGATCTAATGTCAACTATACATTAAACGGAATCAATCGATAGTAGATGATCAAATTAGGATCGAGCCAATGCCCGCTCAATCTGTTACCATACACCTTAGCTTTTTACCAATGCCACAGTTATAGTACTCCAATCTATTACAATAATATAATTTAACAATATCATAAATTAGCTTATTCTGATATTAAACTGTAGCTTTTTAACATCGCAATTCTAGTATACCACAATTTGATATGCACCAATGTTAAAAAAGGCGCCCGCCTTGCCGCTTAGGCAGTCCGACTCGTTGGACACAGGGAATCTCTGCACGCATAGGGAAGAAGACGTGGTTCCAAGGCAGTGGGGACTAGTCGCCCGACTAGGCACCCAAGGCCCCGACTAGGTGGCTTCCTCCTGGCGGGTGCCTAGCCGTCACCTTTTTTCCTCGTGCGATGTTGGCGGAAAAAACCCTCAGTAGAGGGTAAAAAACCTAATTTCCGCCCTCTAAAGAGAGGGGAAAGGGTTTTGGTTGAGTTAGAGAGAGAAACACCCCAAAAAGCAATTTTTTTTTTTGTGATTTTTTTAAAATCCAATTTTTTTTCAAAGTTTTCGATTTCACAAGAAATCAAAAAGCAATCAATCCCACACATTTTGTGGGTCGATTTGGTTGTACTAGAAGACTTTTGGCTCTTGTGGGGCATCAATTCGAGCCAAGATCTTGTGCATATCAAAAAAGGTTCGTATATGTCGATTTTTTGGTTTATGGTTTATATGATATTTATGTATATTTGCTTTAGTGGTTTTTTGCCCCTTCTTTGTTTTTTGTTTTTAATTGTAAATAAGTTCAAGAAGTTCAAATTTAGGATTGTATGCATGTTTTTGTGAAATATGGTGTATCAGCAACTTAGATTGTGTGTTTTACTAATATTTCTAAAAAACTACAATTTCTGAGATAATTTAGGGGCTACCATACCCCTCTTAATAGCTTCCCTGGGGACTAGACCCCTATGTTTCCAAGAAGGTCGCTTGTGAACTAGGGGCCCGCCTTGCTGCGTAGGCAGCCAGCAGCCCTGGCCGACTAGGCACCTGCATCCTCTTTTTTGAATATTGCACCACAATTTAACATATTCTAAAAAAGAAATAAACCTATAATACTGCGGAGAGCAGCAATAGTTCAATTAATAGTATATCTCCTCTCCTTGGATGGATCCTACAAGCATGTAGCCCAAGACCCCATTTTATAACCGCAAGATCCCAATTTCTCTAATAATTTTCAAAAAATAAAAATAAAAAAATCCCAATTTCTCTAAACCAGCTCCCTGTACGATCCCTTAAAGGAACCGCGGGATCAAGTTCATAAGGTGGGACTGTGGCCTTACCTCCAAGGTTCCCGCAACTATCATAAACCCCATTTAGTTACATCCATTAACATCCTTACAGCACTTGGTTGTACCCTTTTCCATGGATAACATAGCATCAAACATTGACTTATGAAGAGAAAACATGTCATCAGTCCCACCTCCAAATTTTGCTCTTAAATATGCAGCATTACGAAAGTCTCAAAAAATTCCCTGTTCTTAGCAAATTGGGTTTGAACCCTCGACTCCATGAAGTAAGGGAACTTGTTTAAGTACACACAAGACAGCATTTAACTTAACAGAGGCGTCAAACAGATCGGTGGCTTGAAAGTTTTGATTTGTGTCGTACTCACTTCAATAATATAGTCACAAAGTAGCATTTATCTCTTTTATTATACTTCCCTAATGTCAAAACTCTCCAATACCATAACAAGGTATATTCCTGTCGACTCATTGTGGCGGTCCCGTATAAATCCATGAAAATATTATCTAGGCATGAACATATATAGACCTGAATTTCATAGGAAATATGCCATATGAATATCATCTACTCCTGTAATTTGAAGTCTAGTAATGAATAGAAAACCAGAATATGATCGGAAGTTCTCACCATTGGTTTCGAAGCATCAAGCCACTGATAGATATGCTCATTGCGGAACCATGTCATTTGCCTTTTTGCAAAATTTCTGAAATTAGTATAAGAAAAGAGTTGACTCAGTAGGTCATCCTCAAGTTTCTAATGTAGGAAAACTTACGGGAACATTGTGAAACAAGTAAATAAAGGAAAATAACTATTCTGTTTGTCATGCAACACAGGGAAACGTCCCAAACGCAATAAATTTTTTTATTTAAAAAGCCTATTATAAGCTTTCAACGGTTCAATCTGGATCAACTGAGATTCCCGATGCTCTCCACATGAACTATTACAATACATGGTCACCTCAAATCCACAATTGATAGATTGTTCCAGATAAATGGATAAAATTGAAACTGTGGAAAGACCTTTGTTGGAGACTTTAAGTGTCTTATGGTGCCTTGTTCTAAGTTTCTAGGTTTACCATATAAAAACAGACTCCAGACTCATTGAAATGATTAAAATTGTGGCAGGTTATATCAGTGTTTCACAGCCTACAAGAACTCATTTAGACTAAACATCATATCTGTCAAGGAATACATACCACATATCAACCCAACATCATTAAGAAACAGCAATACTTGTTGCACATTTAAAAAAGCTTCAAAATTCCCTTCACCCAAAAAAAGAACTTCCCCAATTCCCTTTCCCAAAAAAAGGAACCAGATGGGCAAAAACAGCAATATGGATAAATGACTCCCCAGGAAGTTCAAATCTTATTCACTAACGACGTTATAGCCAACAAAAGACTCCTTTCATCAACGTAAATTTGGATTGGATTTAATTTAATCCAGTCTTTTCTTTCAACCTATTAAAAAATGTAATAAATATTAGATGGCTCGATCCAAATACTTGGGATTGCGCTCCCCCCAACATAGGACTGAAATAGGACTGTGATCCTGCTCCGTGAAAGCAGGATTGCCACCATGTTGGTCACTCCCAGTAACTAAACTAAGATATTAAGCGTTCAGCATAATTTAACTTCCATAAAATCACTCTTTATTATATGACAGTAATTTAATATATAGAGAATACAGTCAGAAACAAAAAAATACCTCATTATCACATTAATTATTAATTACAAATAAGGAATACATCAATATTCAAATAGGTCAATGGCCCAACCTGGATGCCTTCTGGAAATCAGATAAAAAAGCCATGAATTCACCAGCAGAGCTCCTACCCCCGTCTTGTCTACAGTTTAACAAGTATTCCATGGACTGCACAAAATTGATATGGAAAGTCAAAAAGTAGCATCAATGGTCTGACATAAAGAGTTAGCAATCAACAATCCTAAAAATACAACAAAGAGAGATTTAAAAGATATACGAAATTAGCCAAATAGTAAATAGGTATAGTCCACATCTTATAGATTGATATAACTTTTAGCAGCTCCAGAGATGATAATTCACAGACCCGACAACCCCCCCAAACCAAAACAAGAAAAACAAAAAAAAAGTATTAGCTAATAGAAGAAAGTTGCATACTTGACGATAGCCAATTGCCCGAGTTGCTGAATTGGTGTTAGGAAGAAGACCCATATCAAGAAGCCATGAGGCCTCAAACAAAATTCCCTGACTTTCTGTGATTAATGTGACATTGAATTACATATCAAAATCTGATTGTAATACAAGTGTTCTCCTCATAATGGTTATTTATTTCTTTATGGTACTACAAGTTACATGCATGTTATAACAATGAAAATTGAAAAGGAAAGGGCACTAGCAGAAACCCAAATGAACTCGAAACAATAATGAACATTGAAACACAATGAAAATGATACTAAGTGACCCAAGAGACAGAATACACTGAAAATGAAAAGCCATGCTTAGGGAGAATGGGTTCACTAATGTTCACAACACAAGCACGTGTGGATCATTGAAGTCATGATCAGCTGCACTTGTGGAGGGAGTCCAATATGCAGTCATGAACATTCACATTTACAAGAATGCATGAAAGGGCAGAGATGCACACACTTGCATCCATGCATGACATACACATAGATATGCATGGCTTTTTTTCTTTCGATAAATGTATTCATCTGAAAAATTACATTCTGAAATTTGTTTAACATATAATCATATATCAGAATGTATCAAAATGAATTAACAATAGATATATTGTGGCATTTAAAACATAATCAATGCGGAACATAGTGGGGTAAGGCTAATTGTCCATCATTTCTTTATTCTGTGCCTTGCACAGTATGTCGCTTGGCCACAAGATCGTCATCTGAATCCAATATGGTAAACTGGGTTGATAATGGTTCCAATGGTATTTCCACTGCCAACAGGTATTGTATGTCAGGAGTTGAAATGCGAAATGGATGCTCATACTTTCAAAGTTTGGATTTGAGATCATCAAAAATAAGAATGATGCTACTGCATTTCGTGAACATGAATTAGACATCAGAGATCAATAGGACTTTTTCTCCATCCTTACCAAGGCCACTGGAGAGCAGAAATGTTGAATGTCTATTCCCCAGAGGTTCAAAGTAAATAATTTTGTTGATATCAAAGAATATAACAATTTGGTCTAGCTGAGGGCATCTTGTGCCATCAGCTAGCAGAAAAGAATACAAGCTCCTAGAAAGGCAGCCTACACTATTCAATATTTCAGATAATATCATCTATTTCTGAGGAATGTTTCGGTCGTAACAACGACAATTATGGCATTTTTTGTATCTAATGGTCCATTACAGCATTCATTTGGACTTGGAGGCATTCAGTAAATTTTCTGGTCATATAACTTCCCTTTTTCAAAGAACCTCCTGTTTACATAATGAAAGAGTTGTTTAACATCAATAAGAAACCATAATTTCATGGGGAACCCATTCAATCTGGTTGTAGCCATGTTGTAAGTCATTTTTCATTGTAAGGCTGGGGAGTTGTTCTTATGAAATTTTTTGACCTGAAGGAGTGGCGAACAATCGATAGTTATGAAGAATGTCGTTCCGAATAGAACTATACTAGTAAAGTAAAAGTCTCAAGAATAGAATTTAAGAGCATAGGCATAATGGTTTTACGTTAAAATTTAACAATTGAAAGGTTCAAAGAGAATAGCTGCTGATTCTAGCAATTTTCAAGAACATAAAAGGACCTTTTTTTTTGTGTGTACGTATTGTGAGAGTGAGAATGGGAGTAGAAGTGGAGAGATTGCTCCAATAGAAATCGTTGCCCGAAAGAAAATCCAATTGATTCAAGCAATAGTCTCTGTTATCATTCCTCTTTAAGAGGTAGTGCACGGAAAATTTAGAGAATATTCATCAGGTATTGTGAAAAACATTTGTATGACTAAAAACACAAGCAAATGGGATTCAGATGTTTTAGTCATTAATAGTGATCTGCTTCTTAAATACTTTGATACATGAGTGGTAATAAATTGGAAAGATGATTCCATGACTGCCATATGATAAAAAAGGAAATGATATTTGAGGAGGTAAATGATAAAGTAGGGATAGAAGTTTGTGCAATTGGAATGCAGCTTTAGGGAAGCCTAACCCTTATAGATCAAGCTTCGTGGCTGATGGAACTATTCCAGCTTTTGAAGGGAGAAGCATAACGCGATTCTGGCTAGTTCCTTCAATTATTTCTTGGTGATGGAAAGCACCTCTTGATAATCAGGTGGAAGACCATTACTAGGATCATCAATAGTATTAATTGGATGGCATAGGATGACATACGTTACCAAATGGAGTTGCTCCATGTTCTTCCAGATCATGATGTGAACCAAGCAAGATGATGTTACTGATGTTGGGGATTGGGAAGGTGAACCATCAGAAATTTTTTTTCTGCTAAATCAATGTACAGCAAGGATCAAGGAAAACAGCATCCAGCCAGAGCTTCTACTTACTATGTTATGATGAAGATGATGATGACAATGATGTTGATGATGATGGTGATAACAGATGATGCTTGAAGCATGGATGCTTTCAGACCCTCACATATGTGTGACTTGCAAGAAAGCCAAGGAAATAGATAGACAATCTCTCTCTCTCTCTCTCTCTCTCTCTCTCTCTCTCTCTCAAGTTTTAGTGGTGGGAATTGATCCTAGGATGTTAGGTTGAGGCACTTGCTCCCATAACCACTGATGCCCCGACCCCAATCCCGAAAATAGATGGACAATCATTATCTTCACTATAGCCTTTCTTGGGTATTTCACAGAGGTTTTCTAAACTACTTTCATATGAAGTCAGCTATTTCTCCTTTATTAGCTTGGCCGCAGAAATGGTCATTTCTCAATAAAGGGGACAAATAGTGGGGCCAGAGGCCCACTGTTTCTAGGTCTACTAACCAAAATGTTGGCGAAGGTATTCTAAAAAGTGTGCAGCATCTAAAGAACTATGGGCACATTATCGTGGATCCTAACAAGGCTCCAAATAGATAAAACCCACTGATATGCAAGGTAAATCTGTATTCAGGCCTGAGTGTTGGTAACGTATCCTTGAGATCAATAATGCCAAACTGCCACTCAAAATACTGAAGAAATTAGAATTGCATCAAAGCCAGACTTGATTCACTTGTCATTACATATGCATGGGCAATTGGTTCAGCTAAGTTCAATGGATCACAACGACCTTTGCACTTAACATGATGCCCACAACAATATGCAGTATAGAAACTCATGATTATCAAATGAAGTATTATTACATAGGTCTGCATTCTTAAACCAATGGACGAAACACAAGAACCATAACAAAGCCTATTCTCAACTGATTTTATGTATATTAACTATGATGTGAATAATTCTATTCATGGAACCACTTCAAGGATGTAAATATGACATATCAAACAAACACAGTATCTGAAAAATAAATGGATTTTAGTGAGCAGGGAACTAGTCACTAGTTCACTCTAAATTAAACTGAAATAGAGACTACCTTTAAGCATCTCCTCACAGCGCAAGTCAATTAGTCTATAAAGATCCATCCTTGGACATGAAAGGAAAAAGCACAAGAACTCATAATCCAAGTTCTCGAAAAGGTTTTCTCCACTTGCGTCAGCAGAAGAAATACTATCACAAAAGGGATCTGATGCTTTTGATTCCAATTGTTTTCTAAAATAATCATATGGATTATGAAAAGCAGAAGGCGGAGATCCTGTGGCCTGAGATGAAATGAAGTTTGTTAGTGTTAACAACAAGGCCATAACATCTGATGTTTGAACGAAATTTAATTTTTGTGGACCTTACAACTAGTATCTGAGCACATAGTATAAATGTTGGTTGTTTGTATCTGATTATTACATAATGTTATTTTCACAACCATGAATAAAAAGAATGTTTGTCCAGTGTTTTAGAAGGTCGAAGGCACCACCTAGGCAGGCACTTCATGATTGAGGGGCTCCAAAGGAGAGAGAGAGAGAGAGAGAGAGAGAGAGAGAGAGAGAGAGAGAGAGAGAGAGAGAGAGAGAGAGAGAGAGAGAGAGAGAGAGACGAGAAGTAGTAGTAGTAGTAGTAGTAGTAGAGAGAGAGAGTAACGTACGTACCGACGTAACGTAACGTAACGTAACGTAAGTACGTAGTAGTAGTAGTAGTAGTAGTAGTAGTAGTACGTAGTAGTAGTAGT